AAATATACTCAAATAAATTTTTGACTTCAATCATAAATAATTCTCTAGGAATTTCAAGCCTTATCTTTAGAAAAATAGAGATGCTTTGATCAAGTGAAGAATAGTAGAAAAATATTCGAAGCACAAGCAGTCTAGTTTATTCTGCACCATCCATTATATATATATAGACTGTACAGAATGCCTATATCCATTCATTATAGGCATTCAGAAAGTAATCAACTGGTCATTGTTTATTTTTCTCATCAAAGTATTATTGTTCATTTTTTTCTTGAAGCCATTATGGTTCAGTCTTTCTAAAAATCATTGCTTTTCGTTTTTGTCTGTAAACCATTGCTGTACATTGTATTAATAATCAGTGTTGTTTTTAAATATCTTGAAACTAAAGGGTTTAAGTCATGTAATTGCAGAACCGTTCCGATTTTTGCGAAGTTCTTATGAAGAACTAAATCAAGTTTGACATTGATGAATTTTTATCTTTGTTTGATCATATCGATGAATTGTATGAATTACTTCATTGACGATCACTTACAAATGACAGCATAGTATGTTATACATGTTACTGAAAATATTCGAGACCATTGAAGGTATCGGGTAAACTATTGGCGTCATCTGAACTTTTTTCAAGCATTCACTCAATTGATGTCGATGTCAAGGTCAGTAGCACAATTCAAACTGACCAAAAACCTTTATACGACAGACGTGTCATATGTTCTTTATTGGTTCTTGATGTTGTTTGATTTCCTGCTTGTGTTGCAATAATTTCACATGGATATTGCTGGCACTGTCAGCAAATATTTAGTCCAAGTCCATCGATGGAGATATTCCTAATAGTGTTTGATTTCATAAAGTATTGAAAAGAATGGCTTATTTTCGACCAGGTAGTCGTTGTTTTATAAGTAATGCTGTAGAAGGACAACTGCCATCGAATATCACTGAATTAACCAAATTGAAGTGTGGAGCAATCGGTAATGTTTCCATCAATATTTGAACATCAGCACACAACAATATATGGTCAAACTGGAAGCGCTATAGTCTAGCATGATGAGCAGAGTCTATCACAATAGGCTACAATTAATCTCAGCAACATACAGATCAAGATTGTTGGACTTTAACAAGTATTCACAAGCAAGATTTTGATAGTCTTTCTTATGAAATTAACATGGCGAAATACTACCAATCGATTTTTCAAAATGGCAGTCGGTTGTCTTCTCAGAAAACTTACGTTAAGCCTAAACAATGACTAATTAACAACTCTTTTTCTCTTTTGGTGATAATCTCACTAGCGGACATATTCTCGAAAGTGCGCGACAGTCATTCATGAGAGATTTTGGGCCTAACTACATTGGATTTGTGCATGTCAATCAAGAGAACTACTACTCAAGAGCATACAAGACCATTAGCGAAATATCTTCTCACTGGTTAGCCAGGATTCAGCCGTTCCAACTTTAGATGACACATATGTTAATTGTCAAAAAGGTGACTGTAATCTACTACAACGTATACTATTTAGCATGCGCAAATCACGTCCATTCATAAAACCCATATATGCTGCTATAGATAGGTACATATGTTTCACAATCGGTTCATATTTTGAAAATTGGTACAATAATGACGCACATATTATACACCATGTTTTGCATACTATTGCAGAAGTAATATTAACCTCTTGGTTACCGCTGTCTTCAGACCGAAGACAAGATGGAGGCAAGAGATATTTTCTTGCGTTCTGTCAAATCGTTCACCAGCTAAAAACGCTAGAGAGAATGATTCGCCATTTTTTTAATATATCGAGCAGAACGAAAGAATTTTGTCGGTATTCAAGAGGTTAAACTGGCTTAAGTCGAGAGATATTCTCGTGATAGATCGTGGTTTTCGACATATTTTCGATCATAAGACGCTCTCTTAGTTTCAATGTGTATATGCTATCTTTTCTATCAACAAGCGAAAAGAAAAACACCAACTGAAGCGTGTCAAAAAAATTCATAGCGACATCTAGCTCGATTATAGAAAGCGTTAGCGGAAGAATGAAACAATTAAAATTTTTGATCAAATTATATTGATCTTATCTCTGACTTATGTCCATGACTATCTTAAAATTGGTTGTGCAATTATAAATGCCTATTGTTCACCATTTATTTATTTATGATATCATTAATGATGGTGAAATTACTCCATTGATGCTCGAACGAGACCACAAAAATTGTCTTTGCAACTAAAATTGCTGATAACGAATTTCAAATAACAAATAATGAAGAAAGAATACAATCTACTAAATCAGCACCTAATTTTCCCTGGCTTTCGCAGATACGATTAGAACAACTGGCAGCTGGCATGTTTCCACTACAAAAAAGCTTAAAGCTATACATATGAAAATATTAAATGATAATAGATTTTCATGAAGTATTAGTATCAATTGAAACAAATAGATTATTGAAGGGACATATCTAATCCAGACATTCGAACAAAAAAGCGTACAGTGCTATTATCCAGTACAATGAACATATTGTTCTAGAATAGTTTTGCCAATATCCGTATGAAAACGTCATGATCAACGCCTGTAGCCATGTGACATAAATTCTCGAGTATTTAGATTTGGTTTACAACGATAACTTAAAAATGAAAACAATTATCAGACAACTACACTGAGTATTTCAAAGACGAATCATATATGCTTTTAAATGACGACGATGATGATGATGAAGCCTTCTATAGTCATGCATAATACTAAGTTTACAGTTATTCAAATCTTATGTATATATATATCATTATTCTACACGACGTACTATTACAAAACAACTCGGTTACTTAAAGTCACTGCTTTTTCCTCGTGATTAATCTAGTCAAAAAAAAGAAAGTGTGGCATTCTTATTCAGAATTAAAAAGGATCACAGAACCTTACAGTATTTTACGAAAAATCATTATATAAAAACCTGTAAAAATAATAAAAATAATAAAATCTTCAAACAATAAAAAAATGTTGATAAGAATTTTAAAAATAAAAAACAAAACAAATGAAAAAACCTTGCACAATAATGTTTAAATTAGCTTGGTTTCATCTAACTGTAATTAACACCGGTCAGTCTCCGACAAAACTTCTATTTTTTCAATGAGACTTGGATATTTTTTGCTTTAATCGAGCTGTCGGAGTTTATACACAGTTTGATGAAATCAAGCTGAGTAGTTTACAATAAAAGTTTCGCAGTCTCGTAGGTTTTTCGTGGAGAAAAGTCCTCATCATTTTCAGCGACACCTGTGTCTCGGTACATACCTATTCCCTTTTAAAAAGATTTTTGGACGCAGCACGACCACCAAATTATTTCTGATTTCATCACTAAATAAAATACAAATCAACGTAGCTTTTTGAGGAAACACAGCAACATCGATCATACTGGCCTCCAAATTACTGACTACTAATTCTGATTGGTTTACTACTTCATAGTTAAACGCCGGGATGAATCATTATATGAGATGGAAATGTTTAAAATGTTTCTAAAATTTAAAAAAACACTAAAATGATGAACTAGTCTTCATCATGATGACATTTTGAAAAATATTCTAACTCTTATTAAATGCTCGTTGCAATTTCATTAAACGATACTTTATCAACCAATATATTTCAAGCAACAAGAAACTTCAGATTTGTAGCTACTTACAAATTGAATTTAAGAGAATAGTTTTAAAAAGAGGCTATTTTCGTATTGTTGAATACTATTGATATGACCGGACGTCTGGTGATTCTTAGGATGAATGCATTTAGACATACATACCGATTTCATACGATAAATTTTCCTCAGCAAATCCTCTTGTTTTCTCTATTTCCTGATCTTAAACTCGTTTGGAGTGTAAACTGTTCTTTTCTGAGAAAATTATAAAATAACTTTATAGACCGTGCTATTAATTTCTGTGTTTTCGTGCTTTTCTCAGAGAAATAATTGAAATCAATCCAACGTGAAGTTCAGATTAATGAATTGAAAAAAAGAAGAGAATTTTGTGGGGAAAATTTATCCAATGAGAGTAGTGTGCGTATCAAAGTATGTTTTCCCTTAGAATCATTAGATCACGGATCAATAATCATTCTTTCTAAATAAATCAAGAATATATTCAGAAAAAAAAGCTAGCAATGACGAAAATCTTGATCGTTGACTTTTTTCGATATCTTTTAAAGATGAAAATGATTAATTGGCGACAAATATACAATGAATCGCAGATTATTCAACCTGCAGATACTAATGTTTCAACTGAAGTGATTATTCGATTTTTTAAATCAATTCTAATGTTATTTTACTTATCACTAGCGTATCAATCGTTTGGTAAATATCTATAAAAATGATATGATAGAACAAGATCTTCATCAATATGCTCAACGTTTATCTAGCTTTGTTCGTTGTTGCCAAACATGTACATCAAAAAGTTATGTAAGACATGTTCTGTTTTGAGGAAGTACCTATCTATCACAATTTTTAGACGATATACAAATGGTCTGATACATATTTATCAGGGAATAAAAATCTTTTTGATTTTCGTTTGTCAGGGTAAATGATTTCTTCTATGATTAATTTATATTGACATGGCACTATTTAGACGATCAGTATCCGCTTTTATTTATTATTGGAAGAAAACTTTATTAAAACAATGTAATGAACGTGGTCAATTATCTGATTTGTAAGTAAACATAATGAATAAGTTCCATCAAAAATATTCTCTTCGTATTTTAGTAAACAAAATAAAGATGGTATGAAATTAATTATTTTTATAGAAACTATCTCTCGTTTTTTAAGATATATTTTCCATTTCACTATTATCAAATATTGACGAAAATATTATCGTAAGAAAACATGTTTTAACATCTCTTATTCCTAATTTCATTAATCAATTGATTATTAGGTAATAGACAATAGGAAGTATTTTTCAATAAAAATATTTATTTAAGATTTCAGATGTATTATACATATCGAAAAGCTCAAAGGTATTGTTTATCAATTCAAGTTCATAGCCAACCGATGAAATCACTTCGGTTTCTATTTCAAGTATTTTAATAAGTTTTCATTTTAACCCTTTTCAGTTAATTTTCTCCCCTTTAGACAAATATTTCACCGATATTTATATGTTTTATACATGAAGATAATACTCTTCATCAATTATTTTGGACATTTCGTCATTTAATTACAATATTTAATTGGCCATTAACAACAAAAATCTTTTCAAATCGTTCATTTGCAACAGGGTCAATATTTGAACGAATAATGGCAAATTATCTTGGTTTTATTGATTTATCAACATTAAATCTAAATCAAACCAATCTATTTTGTGTAAGTGAACATTATTAAGGAAAATATTCTTATTTTTTTTTTCCGTTAGTATCTTTATCGATGTTTAAAAACATGTCATCAAAATGGACCGATTATTTTTCTTTTCGATCATTCAACTATTTCCAAACCAGCATCTTGTGATTATTATTTAATTTCTTTTCTATGTGATTTAATTCGATTTGGTAATTTTTATTCTTTTAATTGATTTTTAAAAAGTTATTTGGTTTCTAGATTTATCAATACCAGATTTGGTTTTAATTCCAACTCGTTTGCATGAATCATATTTATCATTTAGTCAACCATTTTTATTTAAAGTAATATTGATTTTATATTTCTAGACTATTGCTATGTATGTAAAATGAATAGGAATTACTTGAATTTTTTATTAAAAAAATAAATATTCAAACACAATTTTGTGAAGTGATAAAAACTGAACAACAAAAACTTGTTGATAAACTTATTGATTGTATCTTTTTACATCTTGCATATGGTATGTAATCAATAGTATTGAATTCTAAAAAAGTAATTGTTAGTTATTCGTTTCAAGAGCATATTTGAAAGAATAATGATATTGTTTTTCCGAAAATTTATAATTGTGTTTAAAGTCTATGGACAAATATTTTTTTAAACCATTGCACAAATATGGAAGATTCGTTGGTAGGCTGAAGTTGTAGTCTTGAGCAACACCAATCTATTAAGGAAATACTAAAAAGAAAGTTTGAGCGAAAAAAAGATATCCGTAAGTTTGTTACAAAAATCGCTTCCTTCTGCTCTGAAAATTTGATAGCGAACAATAAAATGTTGATCAATATTGCCAAACCTTCTGAAATGGCAGGAAAAGTTCCATATTTTTTTCATTTTTTCTACTTTCCAAATTTCGAGCTGTTATATTTTTCTAAACTCAAACTTTTATGAGTGTGATTATAAGTTCAAAATCAATTCTTTCCAATAATTCATGAATTTTCGTTATGCTACTGTAATAATAATATAGTGCGGAGTATTGGAACTACAAACAGTATACACTTACTTGAATCTAATGCGTGTTTGAACTCAACTGAACAGACTGTATTATCAAAACGAAGTCATTCAAAACTAAATTAGACTAAGCTGTGATTGATGAATTCAAGGATTCAAATACGAGTATAAGCAAGATTTACGGAGAGAAAAAGTACCTATGCCACCAACAATTTTCACATAAAATGCTGATAGAGCAAAATAGATTTCAATAAAAAAAGAGACAACATATGTACTCGAATGTTAAAAAAATACTGTTCGAAACTGATCTAAAACAGAAGTTGCTAGTTTTCATTGCCAAAATTCCAATTTATAACTTTTTGATCTAACAAACCGGATGCTGACCGAGTAGAAATTTCTAAAAATGTTGCTTTTGCCCATATGCACTCATTACTATAGTCCATCGACTAGATCTGACTCTAATAATAAGTAAAAAAAATTGAACAATATCTTTTCTAGATACAAATCAACTGGTGTCGACTACAATTAAATTTCAGCATATAATCGCTTCCATTGAACTATGTCAAATACCAATCAATCTGGTTTGTTCATTTTTAAATGAAATATACGTTTTTGTATAAGTTTTATCCCAATATCAGCCACCAACAGTAGCAAATATTCACAATACTCTTCAAATTTTTCTTAAAACATGTCCATTTATTACAATGGACAATCATAAATGGAATGAAATAACTCGGCAGCATATTGAACAATATTATTTAAAATTAGATACAAACCAATCTAAATCAAAATTAATCTCAGTAATACGAAAAGCATATTTTCTGGATATTGTAGCAGGTAATTTAATTCTTAATTAAATATTATGAATTCTTTATTCGTTCGTTTTTTTAAAACTCATAATAAGCATTTTCAATTCTATCAAAAGTTCAACATAGTGAAAATCATTCACGTGTATTTGAATTTGAGATGTTTAATCAAATAACATTACTTCTCTATACATTTGGTAATAAACAATATTTAAACATACGTTCATGTCAAAATCTGAATCAAATCATTCAACAAGTAATTCAACATTGTCAATCAAGAAATTATATTTCAACAGTAACTATTATACTTTTAAATTAATATTAATTGATGAGACTGTTGTTTTGTTTATTAGACTTATATTCCACAAAAATCAATGTGTTTTCGTGATACGATTTTATCAGATCATGAATGGAGTGATGATAATGATGATGTAATAGATGATGAATTTGTTGATCATGATAAGGATGATGATGATGATGATGACGATGAAATTATCGTAAATGATTTATCAAATAAAATTCCAGAAACAATGAAATCATCCTATCGAGTAAGATAATTGATCTAAAAAAAGGTAGATCTTTATTTAATTAATCTTGAAATTTTAAGATTAATTATCAAGAATATCATTATCAATTGAAATTTTTTGTTAAATTATTTGGTTCTTATATTGAAGCAATTGTTTATATATTAAAATATCATATTGATAAACAAATGAAATCTTTTACATTAGAACAATTCAATTTTAATCAATCGTTTTATTTCCGTAAGAAATATTTTTATTAATATTCATTTCAAATGACTAGATATTTTATAGGTGAAACATCTCATCTAATATCTAATGATATACTTTCATTTGTACGTCGAGCATATACATATCGATCAATAGAACATATCAATGCATCTGACGAAATACTGATGTTTTTTGAACCGATAGATGATAGTATAAATCCTTTATTAATAGATAATCTAGTATCACTTCATGATGAATTTGTTAAACTATTAAATTGTTGTTGTATTGAACTTTAACACAAGAAAAAAACAGCACTTTGAAGAACGTTTTGGATCAATTAGTTTTTTTTTTTTTTTCAGATAAAAGTTTTCAAACAATAACGCGGGGAAATGGGGAAATTGATAATTTAATATTCAAGATTCTTTTGAAAAATTAAATAATTATTATAAAATAAAATTCATTACAAAGATTTACATGTGTGTTTCTACGCAATTGCTTGATGACAATTGTCTGCTAGCTATGTATATTTAATAATTGACGTAGGCATTTGTTTAATTGCGCAAAATCTCAAAAGAAAAACATTGAAATTAACGTAGCGGCTTTACAAATGTTTGAACATGTGCTATTTTCATATTTAGACTTTATCTATTAAATATTATTTGTCATACATTTAGATAAAAACATATGATTTAAGTCATTCTTTTTTCTATCATGCGCTTTATTATAGTCATTCTCATGCCTGCTCAGTAAAAAGATAAAAAAAGGAAAAAGTACATAATATAAAGTTAACAGATGAGAGCAAGTCCTAAAGAAAAACCGTACAAGGTCATACACAAGACCGCTTCAATCATGAACGTATAAAACAAATAAAGAATAATAAAATACTCGAAAATGAAATCCAAGCTAAAAACTAGGAACATATCGTACACCATAGTTTTGCAGAGTAAGAATTTTTTTGGTACCCTATGCCCTACCCTACAGTCATTTTTGTACCCTTACCCATAGGGTAGAGTAGAGTAGGGTTACCCTGCAGGACTCTGTCGTATACGAAACAATCTAATTTGACTTGAAGTCAAACGCATACTTGCTAAATCATTTTACAGAAAATAAGTAAACTATTTCTGTAATGATTTGATTAGTAAAACTAGCATGCTTACAAATGGTAGAAGAAATACGCACATAGAGCATATCCATAGAAAAAAACAGACAATATGATATTATTGTCTAAATAACAATACACGATAGTCTTTTTTTATTTGTTTTCGATGAATTTTTCATATTATACTCTATTACAAATATATACCATATTGCATGTGATGTTCTCTCAATATTTAAATTATCAACAGCAAGAATTTATATAGAAAATTTCATTATTATTTTCTTTTACAAATAAATATTTACACAAAAAACAACAGTTATAATCAAAAACAAATGTTATGTTAGTGTAAAATATGTGTTATGTGTATATTTTTTAAGTATCTTGTATAAGCAAAAGAGTAAATATTATATTCTAAAGCTATAAGAGAAAAAGAATTGGTAAGAAAAATCATCTATATGAATCAATCGAAAATTTAACTTTTATTCTATCTGTTATTGATCAAGTAGTAATCATTTAAAATACAAGAGAAATATTTTCTTCTGTTTTCTGTTTTAATATTTGTACATCAATCTTATAAATCTGTAAAATCAGTTTTCAACAAATTATCATATCCATTCATATTACATAAAGCTTGGAAAATGTCATTCTTCTCTTCAAAAACTCAGAAATTATACTAGTTGATCCTACCACTTAAAAGTATATTATAATCGATAAGAATTTCTTTTTCGAACGAAGAAATACAAATAAAATAAATGAATGTTTTATTGTGAAAAGCTTGTATAAAAGCAATTGTTGTTAATGATGACAACTTGTCGTTCGTTTTTTTTTTCATAGGTGTATATGTATCATTATATACCTTTCTATGTCTGTCCAATGTCATCCTATAATTTATTTTTCATTTAACCATAAAATCATTTTGATGAGTGCACATATGTGCGGAAGAGAGAGATAGATGCATCGTCTTTTGCTTATATTTAAATAGATGTGTATATACGCTTGTCATATTCATATTGTATTGATCATTGGCCCTCGTTATCAATCGGTTATGCTTGAATGATTTTGTTGAAGCGAGAAGAAAAAAAAAAGTAAGAAAGCATATGAAGCATTTGAATTATTGTACAGGTTAAGAGTAGTATCATGCTTTTTTTTCTCTGAACACATCATCGTTTCGATAACCACTCTCGAAGGGAATCGAACTTGTATGAAAATAATTTGAAAATGTTCATTCTCTTCTAAGTGGCCTTTGGACGATGTATATCATCTTAATATTATTCATGAAATAGATTAAAATTTGCTTTTTTTCTTAACATTTGTTTTATTTTTATTTTAAACATCTAGTTGAAAACTTGAACGTTCTAATGAAATCAAATTCGTTTGTTTTAGTGTATTACTTAATCGTCGATCATCAATATCATCATGTTGTGTATAATGTGTTGCTAATGATTGTTTTTTTGATAAGTGAAATAAATTTCTTTTAGATGCTTGTTTTTGAAAAAAACATATTAATTTTTGAAATTCTTCTCGAAATATTGGTCCTGTTAATGTATAAACATAAAAATGTGATGCATGATTTATTTGATGAATAAGAATAAATAATGTCGTACTAGCCCATAATTGACAAACATAATTTATTTGAAAACTTTGACTTAAATGTGTACGAACAAAGTCATTGATTTCTGATGGTAATGATAAAAATATGAATAATAATGATGTTGATAATAAAAACCATGTTAATTGACGATCTTTTTCTCTACGACGACGATTTTTTCGTCTTATTGAAGAATTTGATGTTAACGTATTTCTTCGTGTATATTTAAATATAATGAATGTATTACAAATAAATATAATTATAAATGGTATAAGAACTGTTTTAATTATATCTATATATGAATCATAATGATTAACATAAAAATAAATATAAGTTTTAGATGCTGGTAAACAAAAACCATCACTATCAATATGAAAACCAAATAAAAAATGGCAATTTATAAGACTAAATAAAATAACAACCAATATTATCATTAATTTAGCTGTTAACTTTCGACAAAAACGATAGCGTATTGTAGAATTTGAAATAAGAATACAACGATCCATAGCAGCTAATGTAAGAAGATAATTTGATATATCTGTTGACGCATAAATAAGAAAAATAATTGATTTGCACATAAATGAATTTGATAATAATTGAATACTATATCCATGATAAAGAAGATTTTCTAATGTATAACCAATTAAGACACTAATATCACTCATACTTAATGCCAAAAAATATATTGAACATGAACGAGATCGAAGTGCTTTTCGACTAAATACAAGAATAGATAAAAAATTTCCAATACAACCAAGTATAATAACAGGTGTGCCGGCATATCGAAGAAATAACGCTACATTAAATCTACATTGAGTTGTATAATTAGTTGAACTATTTTTTTCGTCATACATTGTTAATGTTGTTGACCAGTTCGAAAGAGCCATGAGATACAAATAGTTATGTTAACGAAGATTGAATATATGCAACACTCTAAAATTAAAAAGAAAAAAAATATAAAGCATTGACTTATTTATTAATATTCTACAATTAAGAACATTTATATATATTTGGTCTCATATCTATAATGTACCAATCACCGATAATTCGCCTACGTTACATCTATTTGTGTTATATACGTTTAATGAAGTAATGGATGATCTCTCATAATGATAATTCTATTTCATTTTCGCACGTTAATGAAATATTTTCATGCTTATTTATAAGTGCACCATGACAATCATTGTTGTCATGTCACAAAAAGAAACACAGATTAGTGTTTTATGTCCTTGCACTTCCATCAAGTCACATATTCAATGGAGGAATAAAGTCGAAATAAATCTCGAATCTAAAAAAAATCATAACTGCACAGATGCTTATCTTGCTAGCGGATCAACCCTTATTAGCGAATAATAAAAAAGAAATAACATGATCTTATCTTATATGGAAATGTTAACTTGTTGTAATTGCAACTAAGACAAAAAAAACTTATGTATTGACTTCATTAGTTTCTGTCGGAAACACATGATGTTATAAAATAGAGATGAGGAAGTCAGGGATTTTTCATGAAAGTCAAAACAATAACTGAATTTTCTAAATTTTGATAGTTTGCGAAAATAGGTTATTTTAGTAATTTAATTATTGCAATATAAACCATTGAACGTATATTTTCGAAGAAAAGATTATATTTGGAAGTAAGATACCTAATGCAAATTGAAAAAAAAAAGAACATCTATGCATTTCAAAAATCCTTTATTTTGTTTCAACGTCAATCCATTCTATGACATTACCTGCTGTTCTTGTTTGTTACTTTGTCAATTTTAATCTTAAATTAGAAACTAAAATTAACTTGTATAAGACACTGACATGTATATACACTTTTTTCACTTGACTTGATTTGCCTATTTCTATTATTTAAATTCTTATGCGTCTTGCTCTAATAAATGTTTGTCACGGAAGCATCTAAAGCAAAAAACGTCCGCGATTCTTTTATATATTGCGAGTATTAAAGAGTACAGAGAATATTAAATTGTGTAAATTATAGCGCTCATAGATTATATTAAATTGCAACAAAGAAAACATTTTTCTACTAATATTTGTCAAGATGAAATTTTTATATTTCTTATTGCCTATCTGTAGAAAAGTTTTTGAGAATTATGATAATATGCCTAGTACATAATTATCAATACTAATCCTATCAAGAACATAATAAACATGTTCTTTTTTCTACTTATATTAATGTTAGATAACAGAACAAACGATCAATAAGTTAAGATTTGTTCTCCTAATGGTTCATGATTATTATAATAAAAAACTAATAAATATTTTTTAAATAGATTGATTCATTTATTACTATTAACTTACTTTTTAGTGGATGGTAATCCATGAATAAATCTTTGTGATTCAATTTGTAAATATATTTTATATTCAAGTCAGAGAAATACACTGAAGAAAATTGATTTTTCCGCTTATATTTAACGGGTTGGTTAGCCAACGAATAAAAGATCTTAAATGGATGACTACAAAAAATGTAGAAAGAAAAAAAAAAAGAAAAAGTTTAATTTATGTCATGTTCTTTTTTTTCTTATTATAAAACACTTTCTATTTAGCAATGTTAGTCAATGTTTAACTTATTTTGAGAATGGCGAAATGCATGAATAGAAAAAAGA